CCTAAACATTAACTACTTCATCTCATAATATTTACATTTGGCCCCCGCTTTCTTTCCCTGTCTCCTTTTCTTTGTGATTTTTGGCTAATTGCCTAATCTTTGGGTTATTCTATATGATTCCAGCATACCTAGTTTATAGTGAAAAGGTTTTTTTCATAATCATGTATCTCAGGTTGATGTGTAATATTATTCACAAAAAAAAGTATTTGTTGTGTTGTCACTGTTTACCTAAATCCATCCTGAGTGTCCATGTATATGAAACCAAAAAGAGATTGTTGTATACCTTTAACTTTGAGAGAGCTCCGTTCATCAATTGAACAAATATTTGAGTTCTTTCTATATGTTGAGCTCTATTTCAGTAATGGAAAATATAGCAATAAACAAAACAAGAAAAAAGCCTATAAGCTCCTAGAGCTTACATTCCAATGGGGGATACACAAACACATAAGCAATATCTACTATATGTCAAGGTTTCCAAGGATTTATTCAGCCAAGTGATACTGCGGCAACTTTGCCAATTAGAAGAAGCGTAGGGTTGCCGAAAGAAATCAGGCACTTGAGATTCTTAATAAGAAACAAAAATATCACCCAAAGCGGGAGTACAATTCTTCAGGCCACCACTGTTCGTTGTCATCTAAAATTCTGTTGCTAGGACACTGCTAAGCACAGAAAAGCTAATGACATTTTATAGCTGGGGTCATTTTTGGAAGAATGATGTTCTGATATTCATTGATCTAAATTCAGTTCCAAAATATGGGAGGAATAGAGAATAACAAAGGGAAAGAAATATCTGTAAAGAGGCTTTTAAATTCATATAAACCTTAATATTAGTAATCTGATGCTTTTAAATAATAGATATACAAATTATTACAATGAAAAATATTGGTATATTTTATTAACATTTAAAAATCTATTATCAATTCTATTCTAAATGGTTATCAATACTTTTCAGTAAAATCTAGTTTATCTCTTAATTTCCTCAAAAAAACAGAAATTCAATCTTTGACCCCAAAAATAAAACTTTTGTTTTGATACTATGGCTTTAGTTTTGCAAGGTAATCAGTGTTATTACATTTTTATTCTCTAATGCTTCTCTAAGTAGAACTGAGGTCTCTTCATTTGATTTGGGAAATTGAATAATTGAATGCCAATTGGGGAATTCAAAACAGTATTGGTTTCAAGCTTGAGTTCTTCTGCATTGTACCAAGTTTTCTTCTTTGGCCCTGAGGCATGCATCTTAATGGGAAAACATAGGGAAATGGTGAATCCAGAATATCCTGAAACCATCTTGCCTGTATACCTAACATTGTCCTGAAATTCTGTCCAAATGCGGTTCATGAATAATAAGGCTACATTTGGAGAGAATCACATTTAGACATATCCGACCAAATTACACATCCAAATGTAATTTGAACATCAGCGTCCAAGTGTAATTTTTATTGCTAAGTAATAAAAATTATTTTATAGGCAAAGTAAACCATAGTATGTAAAAAATAAGATTAGATATATATCATGGCACTGCTCTTTTTTATATAGGAAATATGACCATCTGAATGAAAATTAACCGTTTTTCAGTTACTTTGAAGCAAGATACAAAGTTGGAAATCTGTTCATCGCCATGAACTGATGAGAACTGAAATAGTGTGTGTGATACAATACGCCTGAACCACAAATGTGATACACCTCTGCAATTATTGTTAGGTTTAATAGCAGAAAGTAACAAGGGAGCTTTGAATTACTAAATACAACATTTCTTGAAGAACAAAATAAATGAACATTTCATACTATGTAATCTCAGGATTAGCCTGGCTCTACCCTGGTCTTAGTTGCTGATCACATCTTGCCTCGTCATTCTCTTACTTCAATAGTTACATCTTGTGTTCAAAATATATTTTTTACATTTATGCAGAAAGAAAAGAAATCCATGACATTCATAACGTTTATGTGCAATCTGTGTATGAAACTTTCTATATATCCATAATTATAATGCCAAGAGAATCTCAATGTTTGCTATCATCCATCCATTAGTCAGATTTTCCTCATCAGTCTGATTAGAAGCCAACTATCCACAGGACAGTTGCTTAGTGGAGAAAGAGTTACAGTTCATCTCCTTTTCCAAATTAGGGTCAGATAAAAATGAGAGCCCTCTTGGAGTGGAGGGAGGTAGAGAAAAGTAGTTTAAATCTCCTCGTGGAACTAGCTTTTGATGAAAAATCTATGCTGTGCAATAAATGAGGACAGAAAGGAGAAGATGGCCTTCATCCTTTTTCATCTAGACCCTGAAGCAGGGTTCTCCTGATCCTCCTGAAAACAGACCTATCAGTTTCTTCTGCTTCACTCTCAGGATAAACCTGACCTTGGAATCATGCTGGGGAATCAGCCATGATTGTTGGCCATTTCCCTGTCTCTTTCCTCTGTTTCCAGCAATGTGTTATTTGCTGTCCAGCCATTATCTGATCCTCCCAAGAAGCCTGTGAGATTGATATATTTAACCTCAATTTATAAATAAAGAGACAAAAAATTAAAGAGATTCAGAACACCATCCACTCTCTTCTTTCTACCTCCTTCAAATAAATACTGGGATATTACCAGCCCCAAATACCCATTCTTCATTAAGATGAGCCCCAAACATCCTGCAAATAGTAGCAATTAGTATTGTTATCATTCCACTCTGTCAAATAAGGGCAGAATTTACACTGATTCATTAATGGTCTGGAGAAATATGCAGAGTAGGAATTGAAGTACAAAAACTAGTATAACAGGAAAAGAATGGGGGCAGGGAGTTAGAAGACTAAAGAAAAGAGTTTTGAAAAAGCAAAACATGGTGATTATAAAAAATAATGTAGAAGGATGCAATTAGTTCTGGTCAAGATGGTGGAGTAGCATGCAATTAAAAAATAATGTAGAAGGGGCGAAGCTAAGAGAATTGATGTATGAACTCTTTTTCATTAATTGTCTGTTTTTAAAATTTCTTACATGGCATAAGCTACTTCTCTCACACTTTCTCCCAAACTCCCTGCCCCGATCGTGTCTTAAAAATAAAAAAAAAAAAGACAAGTAATGCCATCTTCCAAACAAAGATCAATACTTTCTCTTCTCTTTCCTCTCCTCTCCATTTCCTTAATTTATCTTTCTCTCTCCAAGTACAGGTGGGAAATGATTGAGGAACTATTTTTTGGTGAATGAAATTTTGATCCCAGGCTACAAGAAATCTCTAAAAATTACTTTCAAACTAAAACCAATTTCATACCCAATAGAAAACTTTAGTTTCATGGAATGAAAAGCTATATGTGAACATTCCAAGAACATCTTTCCTATAAAAAGATATATCAAGCACATGTGCCCAATTACTACCAAGAAGTATCCTCTTTCTTAAACTAAGAAATAAAAAAAGAGAATTTCTCTATTGAAAGTGCTGTGTGCTGTTTATCCAGGGCTAGTGAAAGATACTTTGGTTATCAATCTCTTTACTTGCCAAGCATAATTTTTCACGGGAGATGTCAGTTATATTTATCAAAAGGCCAAATTCAATTTCAGTTCTCTTTGCAGAAGTCTTGCAAATAACATAGAAAAAACAAGACAGTATCGATAATAATAATAATAAAAGCAAATGCACTTTAGTAAAATGCAATACCTCACACATATTATTACCAATTCATTTTCTACTAATGTTTTAGATCAAAATGTTCAAACTTATTTAGTTTTAATGCTTTGGGTTTTCTGAACTTCCCAAATCACATGTCTATTTGTTGCAGGGGTCTGAAAATCAAGATCTAAGACCTCTCCTTCACACCAATAGACACGGATGATGTTGCATTATTTCATTTTCCCTTTATATTTATTTATTATTAGTGTTTTAAAGTGATCCATAGATCAAGAAATTGATAGACATTGAAAGCTTTTCTGCTTACCACTGCTCACATATTCTCCTTTCCTTTAAGGCCTGTTCTCCCCGATTGGAATTTCAGCAAAGAGGGGAGTGAAGGGACTTGGAAATCTGTAACATTTGGGCTCTTTATTATTGATACAGCTCTATCAGTTGCATATGTACAAGTCTTGGAAATTTTTGACTTTTTTATATTGAGATAATGTATTGAAATCTTAAAGTAGTATTTTGTCCATTATTTTTTCATATTCAGGTTCTTTAAAAATAGTCACTAAATACAGGACTGATAATTTAGTGATTATTTTATTATTAAAAGTGAAAAGATCTGTATTAGTGCCTTTGGATCCACCTCAAATATTTCTTTATATTTAGTGCATTCTTCCCTCACATGTTAGTTATGAACTTTAATTTGTTGCCTCTATTCAAAACTAAGAGCAGGTGAGACACCTAAAAATATCCTCATTTGCCTTCACAACAAGAAAAACCAATAACAATTTGGGAATTAATTCACTATTCATCTCTCATGCTAGTGTGTCAGGCCTTCCATCATTTGGTTTGAATTGATGCGAAATTGCAGGAGAGCAGGACAGGAGACTGGCATTTTTCCATTCCATATAGTTACTGGCCAAGGCGATTAATAAAAGTCCCTTGATGTAAATTGAGGAACTTGGTTAAATGAATCAGATCCTTTTTCCCATGTCTTCTTACACAAAACATGCGGTTTTAGGGTTTATAGTTTTAAAAAGTAGTGAGACAAAATTACCCCATATTTATAAAGTATGGACAACTTCCTTTCGATAAAAATTTAAAATCAATTCTCTAAAATGAAAGATATAAACATGTATAGATGCAAATCAATTCTGTATTGGTTTCTTATTACCACATTAAAGAGAAAAGCTGAGGAAATAAGTTATGACTTAATTTTTATTTTGAATGCGTACCGCTACCTAATGTACATAAAATAACCATCATGGAACAAAACTGGTGCCTCCAACAGCTGGTTGCATTTAAATGATTTTAAAATAAGTGCTTACAAAAAGTCAATTTGGGGTATTTTGCTGTTTATGTACAAAACAAATCACAAATACGTTTTTATGTTGATTTTTTCTGACAGGACTGGGAATTCCCACATTTCATGGGAGATGTCGATGTAAATCTCCCTGGGTTGCACACTCCTCATATGCAATTCAAGATCCCTTTCTTCCAGAAGATCTTCAAGGAAGAATATCATATTCACATAACAGGTATGTTATGACTTTGAACATGGTATTTTTTGTCTCCAAGTTAGAGTAATACTAGCTGCTATAAAAAAGCAAACGGTAACATTTTAGAGGCATACATAAATATTTTTCTGTTTCTTACTCACTTAACAGTGCAACTACTGGCAGTTCTGGGCTGTCACTCTGGGACTTAGACTACTGGTGGCTTTAACAATTTCAACTTTATCCAGCACGCAGATGAGAATAAAGAGAATGGGGGAAATGATTAAGAAAACTTACCTGTTTCTTAACCTCCTTGGCTTGGAAAAGAAACATGTCACCTCCCCTCACGTTCTGTTGGCAATAACCAGTCAGATGGCCCCACTTAGAGTCAAGGAGAGTAGGGAGATGTAGTCCCCAGTTGGGCAGCCACTTCCTATGTCAGGCCCAGTGTTGTAGCACAGGATTAACAGAGGCGAAGAACATGTCTTTGGTGTGGAGAGTTAGCTATTTCTGTCATACTCCATATACCACTCCACCTTGGTTTTGTTCATTGTGTGGGTTTCCTTTTCAAAACCTATAGCTCAGGATATTTTTATGCTTTGTTCTTCATTTACTACTGAAATTAAAACAGAGGTATCCTAGAGCTCCAATCAGACCGTATGCCTTTAGGGAGGTTGACCACTTCTCATCTGATTAAAACCTACTTCTGTGGTAGAGTTTGTGTTTGTCTCAAGTGATTCTCTTGTGACTCCTCAGATTATTTCATTTTTAGATGTGTCTTGCTTTTGAAATAATACGATTTATTATAATATTCTTTCATGACATCTCGGTCATTCTCATCTAAAAAAGTGTTCCTAGAGTTCCTTTTTTTTTTTTACCTTTTTTTCTTTAAAACAAGAAGTAGACAGCTGAATGATCAAATGAAGAATGTCATTAGTTCCCGAGCTGTTCAGATGCAGGTAGCGAATGTGTGTGTTTTAAGGGCAACAGCCTAGGATCCCACGCCTGCTATAATAAAAATTGCTGAAGAAATCTGTGCTTACACTACCGTCTGTGCTGCTGAATAAAAATAGTCTGAGCACAGAAAACGCGAACATCTGAAGACTGCAAAAAAACCTTTGCTTCCCAACTTGACGGCTGTTTTTTGCTGAGCATGAGGCAACCTTCCTAAATTGGAGAATGAGCTCATGAATAGGGAAGATGCAGCAGGTTTCTTCTCCTTTTTAAAATGAATGAGGCCCATCTATTAAATTCACTAGGTAAATCAATCAATTTGAGTTCAGGTCACAGAGTGTTGTTTCAGAGTCCCCACTTAATCTCGGCAGCATGCTACCTTCTTGGACTTCTAAAACAGCTATCACGCACATGGCATCATCATATCCCTCTGGGTAGGCTTTCACCTGGACCATCTGTTCCTGCTATCAGCTCTTGTCCCAGGCCATCATGGCACTAATATTATCTCGGACTCAGTATCAGAATCCCTGTCAGAAATATACGGCTCAAGTGCAGAATATCAGCATTTTTATTTAAAAAAAAAAATGAGAGGGGGAGATTCAGAGAGATCATTGATAAGAAAAAAATTCAAGTTGTTAAGTATATTTAATTTGGGGCTATTTTGCATAGCTTTGTCATACATGCCATCATTTATAGATAGCAGCAGGTTCAACTTATGTGGTGCTCAGAGCTTACACAATTTGGAATGCTCTGTTTAAGAATATGAATACAAAATTACAACCGAAAATTATATTCAGTGCCTTGGAAGGGGACCACGCATACAAGAGTCCCTGAACCTTTGGCGTCACTAGCTTCTAGGTAGAGCCTTCTACACCTTTGGACTTAAACCTTTGTCCCACCAAGTATTATTTTGTAAAAACTTAAAAGGAGGAAAGACTAGCTAAGTATTTGTATTGGAGATTGTACATTAATAAAGTTTTCCAGAAGGTAGAAAGATGTTAAAATTAAGGCTTTGGTTATGCTGATTAACATATCACCCAGGAAACTTTATAAACATACAGGTTGTTAGGTGCCAAACCTAATGATTCCTACAGAGTAGGCCTGGGCAATGGGCAGGGAATGGGACTTTTGAAAAGCTTTCCCACGTGATGCTAATCTTTGAGAACTATTCCTTTCTGATTGAGAAGCCACAGTTGAGGTCAGAATGTCTCCTGATTCGAGCCAAGTGAATAACTGGATGCCTGGACCTGCTGGGAAGGCTATTGAAGATTCTGGAGTTTAAATTCAAAATAAAATAGCACTCACGTGGGCTTTGGGGTGAAGGGATCCAGCATAACCAATTGAAATTCAGTTTCTGGTAAGATGATCATGTACCTCCCCAGATCCATCTATGATAAAATTGTCTAGGAAAACAGTGATAGGAGGCTAAAGTAAGTTATAACTTCTCCCCCTCTTGTTTTTCTTACTCTCTTTGTTCCATTACTTGGCTAAAAAGTTGCTGAGGCTACTCTGGGATTACCATCTAGTCTCCTGTAAAAGGCCTTTCACTTTATCTGACATGGTTTCTGGGCAAACCTAGGTAAAATTTCCAAAACATAGTGCTACATGTTGGATTTTAATATGCTCAGTAGTTAGCCCATGAATTTCCAAGTACACTGCAAATGCTCTTGATCAGCGATCTTCCGAGTTCGTAGAGAGACTTGATTGTTTTCCTTAATAAACAAATATGGTATTACCACTTGGTTTATTAAGCATGAAACGCTCTCTAGCCATCAGTGGTTCTCAAACTTTAGTATATATGAGAATCACCTGGAGAGCTTATTAAAAAATTCCATCAGCCACACACCCAGACAGAGCTGGATGTCTGAGGGATGTGGTGGACCTTAGAATCTACCGTTCTCTCAAGCATCACCAGTTATGTCTATGCAAGCAGCCAGAGGACCGCACCTAGAGAAATGCTGCTGCAGAGAAACATTTTCTAGTCAGATTTCTTCTCATCTCAGCTTTAATTTATTTTCATATGCAACTCTTAAAACAAAAGCCAAGGGGCAGAAAGAAAATTCAATAGAAATGGGGTGGCCCGTGAGAAAGGCATATGGTAGAGGTCTATCAGGAGCTAGAACGTTTAGAGCTGGGGCCAGTGGAGGAGATTCTGAAGCACAGCATGACTGGGAAAGGTCTGGATGACCATAGATGAAGATGGAGCCAGGGGTAGAAAGGGATCCTGTAGACCCCTTCATGGCTCTGTCTGTTGCCTTCTCTGCAGTCTTTGTTCTGCACTAGAAGAGGCTGGATGAGGACTGCTAGAGTTCTCTTAGGGTCAAGAATGACTCTAACTGAGCCTCAACTATCATTTCTCTGTGAAGCTATCATTTCTCTGTGAAAGGTCTTCTGTGCATGCTGAGGAAATGGAATGTAAAGTGTCGGTGCATAGACTCCAGCTCTGCTACTGAGTGGTGATATGGTTCTCGTCCAGCTCCTGAACTTCTTAGAGGCTCAGTTTTATCATCTGTTAAATGGAGACCATACTAGTACTTATCCCGGAGTTGCTATATTATTTTAGTTAACATGTACAAGGCACTTAAAACACTGTCTGCCATGTATTAAGCACTCAATAAACTCTCACTATCTTTACCTGAAACTTTTCCATTCATTCATCCAGGGTTTGTGCTTCCTATTTAATTAAAAAACATCAGGCATCCCAAGAGAGGGATCTCTTATTATTTATCCACTACTCTGAGTTCTCTACTGTTATTTACTTTTCTGAATCCTCAAGAAGGAGAAAGCAGAGAATGGGAAAAAAAAATCTTTCTCCCAATGAGATTCTGTGTATGTAGAGGGTTATCTGATACCGGTGAGTTCCCATTGACATTTTTAAAGCATTAAGGATTTGAGTATTTTTTAATCCTGATTCCAAGCTAGTTTTATTTATGAATGTCAGAAATAACTTGAATTGTTGCATCTGTTTAGCTCATCTGGATCCCCCTTGACAGATGGTTTGCTGCAGTATGTGTGAGCTTTCATTTTATAAGCTGGGCTAGAGCTTATAAAAATAAATCATCTCTATCTAAGGGTGTGTTAAAATATTTTTTTCTGAGAATTTTGATTTCAGGAACAGAAGGGATAAATGGTTAGTGATTAGGTCACACTGGAGCTTTTGGCCCAAGCCTATTGTTCTTCTAAAAGTAAATGCAACTGTATAATTCTCTTTTCTGCCCTCTTCCCTTTTACCTATAAGGTGAATGCAAAGATGGATTCAAATGTGATATGCTAAGTCTCTGGAGGCAAGAGAGGAATGGCCTCTCAATTCAGTCTCGGAAGCCCCTCTGAGTCCTATTAATGCCAATCCCGGTGGAAACTCTGCCATCTGTCATCCCAGCCAGACAAAGGGAGTGTCCCATTGGTGGCCATCATCTGAGTAAATTAGGAGGGGGCTGGGGGAAAGGCCAGAAGGAAGGCCTGTGCATCTGCGAGGAGAGAATTCACACTGTTGGCATGATGATGCCCACGGGAACCCTTTCGGCAAAAAATAGAAAATGCAGAAGTAAACAAGCCTCTGTAGCGTCTATAGTGTTCTGCTTCAGTTTCCTGAACAGTGTGAGGGCACAGGTGCTTTACAATGGCAAGAATGTGGAAAATAATGAATAAAACCCCTTCATTTTATTTCCAAAGGTGCATGATTTCTGGTAAATGAGTTCCCAGAGATTGTTTTTTAAAGAGCTCTCCTGTGTCAATCAGATCATGGAAAGTGCTGGGGAGGGTGGGCCAATGGTCCGTCCAGCAGAATATTCTGTCTGATAGAATTAGCAAGGGACTTGTTATAGGGAAATGTGATGCCTCCTATTGTTCACTGTGACAGTCCCCCAAGATCATGAATTTATCCAGAGTACACAAAGATCTCCTTCTATTCTTTCAGTTGTGAATTTTTCTAAATCTTTCCTGAAGCAATTTTCATTTTCAACACATTTATACAGCTCTAAGAGTTAACTATGTTTACTTCTACATAGAGCAGAAATTCATTTTATTTGTCAAAAACTCATCTTTTTTCCAGGCCATGGTTGCTTTGCCCATAGCTTGTGAGTCCTTGC